TGCGGGTCCCGGCGGGGCCGGCCGGGGCCGGGGCCGGGCCCAAGGTCACGCCGTGAGCGGCCGCGGGGACCAGCCGGGTCTCCTCCGAGCGGGAGGGGCGGCTCCGGGCGGCTGCGGTGGCACCTGTTCCTGCGTGGGGCAGGACGCCGTGTCCCTGTCCTCGGTGCTCTCGAGCCGCCCCGGCTTCTCCTGGCTCGCTCCGGGAGCCCGAGCCGTGGAGACCCGTGCGGCCCCGTCCGCAGCCCGGCGGCCGCAAGCGCCCCGCCGGTAAAACGCACCGCGTCCTGGAAACCAGCGAGGGCTCCGCGGTCTGGAAGCGATAGATATATTTTCAAAGAAAAGTTCTAATGACCTCTCTCTGAACTCGATGTTTGGCAGCGTTAAACTCATCGCGCAGTCGGCATGGGGCTGAACCTGCCCGCGAGTGGGCCTGGAACGGAGCTCTGGCGCTGGTGGGAGCAAAGCTTAGGATTGAAGCCTCCTGAATTGCACCTTTGCACAACACAGAGCAGTGTGGTGAATGCCACCTTCAAATCCATATCTGTTGGTAGAAGTGCTTTTCATTGTGTGTGGTTTTGAGGAAGACAGATTGACTATGAAAATGCAAACCGCAGTAATTGTTATCTTGTGAGAATCAGACTTATCCAGCAATCTGGAGGGCAGATGGTCTGTTTTATTTTTCAGTGTTGTTGACCAGCCTTGAGACCCTGTTTTAAGTGCCTCCCATGCTTCTCTTTCCCAGAATGTATTTCCCCAGCCTTTAAGACACAAACTAGGGAAGTATCTTTCAACCTATATGCAAGTTCCATGTTGGTTACAGCAAATAAGGTAGCATATAAGTAATAACAACTTCCTAATTTAAGTGAGGTGTATTTGTGTCAGCTGGAAACTCTGCAGTCTCTGAGGTAGTGGCCTATTAATCTGTTCCAGAAAGTGATAAGCTAAACAATTGCATAGGAAAATTTTATGTCACCTAATTTATCCCTTTGCTTGACAAGAGAAGATTATAGCAAATACCCTCATGTTTCTCTAAATGTAGTAAGCAATTTGGGTGGGCGGTCAGGTTTTAAAATGCAGCATATGGATGCTGTTTAAAAAAAGGCTGCGTTTTGCCTTGAAGCTTCATTTTTAGGTTGTGAAGCATAATGTGCTGTAAACGGCCAGTATTTATGAATGAATGTTCTGATTTTTTTCATAGTTCCCCCTCTTCTGCCAGGATGCTTTATTGGTAGCAAACTTGGAGATGATGTTTTTGAAGAATTTGCTGCTATTGCAATTTCCTTTCATAGATGAAAAGATGAAAGTAGGTTGCAAGAGTTGTGTGTGCTGAGACTGATGCACTGAGACATGCTTCAAGTGAAGAAGCACAAGCTGCTGCTACTTTATCCCTTGAAGCAGAAAAAGTGACAGTCTTGTCTGCTAGATTTCAGAAGTGGTTGAAACTACTTGAAATGGGACTCTTCAGGCTAGTGTAGGCTGTGGGCCCTTTGCTGTGCTGCCTCTGCCTCAGGAGCACCAGGCTGTAGCTTTGCTGGCCAGGTCTTTTTGTGTGTCTGCATCTTGTCTTCTGCTGCTGGCCAGCTGCAGTTCCTGACAGGTGGTATCCAAAATTCAACGTGTTACAGATCCAGGTTTGAATTATTTTACATGGGAACTGCCTAGCTTCACTGAAAATAAGGAATCTGCTACATGCATGATGTTCCTGTTCATTTAACATACTTTTGTCCCATACTCACCTTTTTTCCAGCTTTTATTGACCCTTGTCAAAGGCTGCTTGTACACCTACCCATTTGTCAGCTTTGTGCAAACTGTACCTGTCTGTCATTTTGGCATGTTCAAGGCAGTATTGTGAAACTTAGCTCACCCAAGTCAGACTTCTTGCATTTGGTAATAAGTCAAGGTGTGGATGTTTGTTTTGTGGTGTTTTTTTTTCTGTCCCTGCTGTTTACCTTTGGCATATTGTTTGTGAGTTACAGCTGATAAGTTCTTATGGTAATTCACAGAGTTAATTAGCCAAGCAGTGCCTGACTGCATCTTCATTGCTTTTGGAGACTTTCGTGTCCCTGTATGCAAACCCAGGCAATGTTTTGCCAAGGACTGGGTTTAGCATTCATAAAAGAAAGATCCAGGGAAATGTACCAACTTCAGGCTATTAAGATACTGTGTTGAAAGAAGCAGACTGGAATGTCATTTTAGGTTTAATCTTGCTTCTTGAAGAGCTTAGCTTGTGTTAAATAGAGCAGTACAGATAAGGATCTTGGTTTGATACCCATTTCTTGCTTTTAGTGGGGTAGAAGAATGCTTTTTTCTTCCCTCTCTGCTCAGCTGACTGGGGAAGCAAAAGGGACCTGAGTGTGTGTTTGGAGACAGAGCCACATGATTTGCAAGTGTTTTACCTTGAGTTCACCTTTCCTGTGTTTTTTGTGGCTTGTGATATATGTTGTGATGTATGGAAGATCAAATCTGTTTTCTGAATAAGCAAATACATTCTTAAACAAGCATGCTGTGTCACTTGATTACCTCAATAATAGTCCAATGAGGACACAGAACTGAATCACCACCATCAGAGCACCCGGTAATAAATTTTATTTAAGATAATTGAGTTGAGGTTTAGGAGCTGACACTCGCTGTGTATCTGTAAATCTTGTATTAAGAAGACTTAAGATGGAGAATTTGTTTTCTGAGATCACAAGAAATCGTTTTTATCCTGTGTGAGATCTGAGGATTTCCCTCTTTAGCAACAATTTTTTCTATTGAAAGTGAGTTGGTGGAGAAATGATGTATAATCAAAATAAAATAATGTTGCTTTATGTCTAAACAAGTGTGAATCCTTGATGGGCTGTGTTTATTTCTAGGAAGTTGCCAAAGCTGCTATTCAGCATGGTAGAAAAACCTGACAAAAAGCAAAATATGGTATGGCCCATTGAAACTGAACAGTTGAGTCTCTTCTGCTTTGTTTGCTGGTACAAATGCTCGTGTTTGTCACTGTTGTTTTAAAGGCTTACTTTTCTTGTACAGAGTTGTCATCTAATCAGACTGGCCTCTGTGTATCAAATCTTCCTCCTGTTGATGATACTGCCTTGCACAGGACAATGAAAAATGGGACATGTGGAAGTGAGCATATTCTTCTGTGTGATCCTTAGTGTCAGAGCACCGGGTCGCACTGCTGCAGGGCACACCTGGGTAGCTTTTGGTCTGTCAGGTGCCTGTACTAGTTAGCATGTTCTGCTCTGAAGCAGCAGTTACATCTCTGTCACATATTTATTACAAAACCAGGGGTGCTTGTCTTCATTCAGCAGAGTTAAACTGCTTACATGATAGTCTAAAACAGAAAAAATGAGGCCTTCAACATTTAGGATCTTTGCGAAAATCAAATAAAACTATTCAGATTACAGATTTCAGCAAAGATGAGGAAAAAAGATGATAGAATGTTTGGTTGGGAAGCCTTGCCAACCATTGCATTTCTGTATTGAGAAAAATAATTGTCACCTACTGGAAATAAGCTTAATTATATTTCTCTCTGTTTTTTAAGAGATGAAATTGGATTAATACCCTGCCCTGAAGCCAGATATAACCGGAGCCCTATTGTCCTGGTAGAAAACAAGCTTGGTGTGGAGAGCTGGTGTGTGAAGTTTCTTTTGCCATATGTCCACAATAAACTTCTCCTCTACAGACAGAGAAAACAGTGGCTGAACAAGGATGGTAAGTTCTGAGTTGGAGAAGAGTATATATGTGATCTTCAGTGCACATTTTTTATTTATCGGAAAATTATTTAGTTTGGAAAAGAGCTTTAATATCTGAATCCAGCCATAAACCTGACACCGCCAAGTCCAGCATTAAACCGTGTTCCTAAGTGCTGTGTTTACATGTCTTCCAAAAATACCTCTAGGGATGGTGACTCTACCACTTCCTGGACAGCCTGTTTCAATTTTGACAACGCCTTCAGTGAGGAAACTTTTCCTCCTATCCAACCTAGACCTCTTGTGGTGCAGTCTGAGACCATTTTCTCTCATCCTGTTGTTTGTTACCTGTGAAGAGAGGCTGATACTCATGTGGCTACAATCTCCTTTTACATAGTTTTAGAGAACAGTAATGTTCTCCGAAGCCCCTTTTTCTCCAGGCTAAACACCTCCAGCACCCTCAGCTCCTCTTTAGAGGACTTGTGCTCCAGTTGCCCTTCTCTGGACTCACTCCAGCACCTTGATGTCTCAGTGAGTACATGGAGATGGTCACTGATGTGATCCTGCTGGCCACACTGTTATGATCCAAGCCAGGATGCCCTTGGCCTTCTTGGCTACCTGAGGACATTGCTGGCTCATGTTCAGCTGGTTCTGGCCAGCAGCCCTGGGTCCTTTTCCACCAAGCATCTTTCCCGTGAGCCTGTGGTGTTGCATGACATTGTTGTGACCCAGGGGCAGGACCAGTCAGAACCTCATACAAGTGGCCTTGGCTCATTGATCCAGCTTGTCCAGATCCCTCTGCAGAGCCTTTCTACCCTCCATAGATCACTCCCACCCACAGTGGTGTAATCCCCAAACTGACTGAGGGTGCACTCAATGCCCTTGCCTGGGTCATTTACCCTTCCTAATGCCAGTTCAGCCTGTTGTGGAAAAAATGGTGGTTACTGAGGAGAGCAAGCTTTGGACTGTGCATCTTAACATAGACAAGTAATTTGAAAATAAAATTTCTTTCTCTCTTGCCCAAACTGGAAAGGTCAGAGACAGACAGCTTCAGTGACATATTTGAGGAAGTGATGTTAGTTGATACAAAAGTAATTTTCTCCTGTTTTCCTGAGTCAAAAGGAAAATGAAGTGACATATATATGTACTGTAAGAAATGAGTGCAGTGTGTTTCAAATGCAGAGGTACCAGAAATCATTAGTCTCTACAGCTTGGTAATTGTGAAGTTTTATTTCCTTTCTCATCTCTTTGTTTTGTTTTGGTTTTTAGTTTAACTTGCATGAAAAATTCTTTTGTATATGTTCTTTAAAAAAATTAAAAAAGAAGAATTTATGAACAGGTGTGACATAGGAGGTACTTGATGGCTTATGCAGTGTCCTGATTAGAGTAAGAATGAAAAAGAATAACTAGTTTATGAAACAAGTTTTTTGTTTATTGTTGCAGTACCTTCTAAGTAGGAGTTGGAATAAAGAATGTTCTTATACTGGGCTTCTCAGTGTCTTATTTCTGGTGATTTTTTTTTTTTTCTTTTAGAGACTTCTCTCTAGTATCTTTTACCTGCTATAGTATTTTCCATATCCCTCAGAAGGAGGGATTTCTGTTCTATTGAAGAGCACTCTGTGACCACTCACAGAGTTCAGATCTGTAGTATCTCACATTCAACTGTGTTTCAGTTGTGAACTGTTATATTTTCATTTTTTTCTGTTTACTTGTAACTAGCCTGTCCATAAAGCACTGACTGTGCCCATTTTGCTTCAACATGTGGGATTGTCTTCCCCTTTTGAAGCATACCAAACAGACACCATTTTTTCAGTTGTGTTGATTGCAGCTATAGCAAAGCCAATCTCCCTGGCTGCTTTATGAAATAGAGAGTTAAAGAGTTATTTTTAAGTAGCAGGATGATAGCACACATCTGGTGCATACTCTAGCATCTAGTCATAACTAACACGGTGTACTTCTTGGTGTTACTGCTAGGTAAGTTTTTGGAGTAGGTCTGTGTAGATCAGGAGATGTGTGGCCAGTAGCATTTCTCCTTTGATATCTACTTTTCTTCAGTGTTTTATTGCTGTATTCTGTTTCACTTCGTGGGTGAAGCCAGCTGTGCACTGATGTTCATTAAAGTGCAGTGTGTGGCAGAGTCAGGTGGTGTTGGTCAGGTCTGTAAATGTGCACTTGAGCTTCTTTTGGCTTTGGAGATGATATGGAGAAAGAAGATCGAGGTCTTTAGTGGATCTTGGAGTGGTAGCATTCTTCAGGGAGAGAGTATTGCCTGCTTTTGTCTGCCTGATGGTGGGGTCTAGATTTGCTAAACATGCTTTGATTTCTTATTACAAACATATAGATGTATAATGCAAGCAGGTTGGAAAGAGTAGCATGAAATGGCAGACAAGGCAGATCATGACAAGGAGGAACCCATTCTCCTGGCAACAGAGAGTCTTCCAGTGCTAGCTGTACACCTTGAGTCATGTTAGAGTAACAGTGCACTGGCTTGATCCTTAGAATTAATTACCCTTCAAAAAAGTAGCTTAAAGAAGTTGAAGTGTTTTCATGCATTGCTGGGTATTAATGACTGACTCATTAATTGTATTTTATTTTTGTCTGACAGATTGTGTGCGTTTGTGTCATTGTGTTTCCCATACTCCTTCTAGAGGGTTGATGTCATGTCATTATGTGGACTTTATAAATTTTACATTGCCCTTTATTTTTTTATTTTTACATCATTTATTTTCTTGAATGTTTTTTCTCATTACAGATATCTTTAAAAGACTCTTCCTGGGGGATGTGTATTGCTAACATAAGGAACTTCCATTTCCTCTTGGTCTTTGTGGTTTATGGTTGGATCTGTTAAGACCAGGATGGTTTTGATCACTGCCACCAAGCAGCTGCTGATTTATTCAGTTCTCTTAGAGGCTGGTGATTGTGACATTCCAAATTTGAAATTTGTAATGCAGATGATTACAAAATTCAATAAACTGAGCTTTAATACACGGAATATAATTAATGTTGGCTGACACATAACTAAATATAAACTTTAACATTTTAAAAGTTGAACCTACTAGCACAGGCAATCTTTGCAACATGAGTGGTTCTCATTGCGGTTCTCATATGCTTTTGGAGGTCATATGTAGGAGTTTGTGATGTATATTGTTATTTCGCTACTGATCTTTAGCAGGGAGACTTCATTTTGGTCTCAACTGTTATTGTAATGTCTAAACATTGACATTTCCACACAGAGAAAAACTTCTTGTTTCAAGCCAAACTACAAACATTGAGATCTGTGTCATGTTTTTGGGTGTCTGAAGACAGCTGGTAGCGATTACCTGTGTGCTAGCACCCTGCTCCAGTCACACCAGTGCAGGTGCTTTGCTGTGATGCTGTCACACCTGTGCCACAGGGATGGTGTCTGCAGGCTTCTGCTTCTCTCATAGGTAAAACCTTGCACAACCCTTCCTCTCAAAATGCAGCTCAGAAAACTCTGTCAGTGAATACTGCAGTAGCATGTATTTTAAACTAGTGCCTGCAATTTGTTTTGAAAATGAAACTCGATTCTGTTTTGTTTCTTCATTTACAAAAGCCAGTTTCAAATGTATGAGAAGAGGTCCTACAGCATTTTCATGTCTGCTGAGGTTTTCTGTAACCACTGTAGAACACAGTCAGATCTTTCATGTTAAAACCCAATTTGTAGGGGAATTTAGTATGTTTTACCATAACTGAATTTCACATTCACCTCAGAAGGTTTGAGCAGAAACTGAACTGCAGTGGTGGAGAGAATTAAGGCAGAAGTCTTTCCCAGGTGGGCTTAGAGACTCGTCTCTGAGGTGTCATAAGTATGTATATTCTGTCAAGAGATGTTATGGTTTTCTCTTAAGTATTCTCAAGGATTTCGCTCCAGATTGCTCTTGTAGATGAAAGTGCATGCCTGGAATCAGGTTAATTGTTTTATTTTGCATCTAGTAAAGAAATAGATTTGTTTTATTACTTCTTCAGAACTCAATTGTATGTTCTGTTGAAGCTTGTTATAATCAGTGATTGCAGGTGTAGTCTCTACTCACCTCTTCTGTTTTGAGTCACTGTAAGCCAGTTAAAATAGAACAGAGGAGAACAACAGGGTGCTGATTCAAGTGTCTGCTTTCAGATGTGGTGTCTGGTATTTTTTTCTGACAGGATCCTGGGAGAAAGAGGTGCTTTATAGTCATTCATTGATAGGTTAGTGACACAGATGTTTAGTTATAGTTTCTTTGGGATACTTGGAATCCAGAATCACGACTGCTCCCCCTGCTATTGTTTGAGTTTAGAAATCTAAATTTTACCATGTTTTTATCCTTTCTCCACTATTTTTTAAATTTATGCATGCATATTATTTATGTTATGTCAAGATGGTTTTCTGAAATTGTTACAAACTACTCACAGAATATCTAAAAAACTGGATACAGCCATATTTAAAGGTGTGCTAAAATCATATTGTTTTATTTGTCCTTTTGCAGTTAGGGAGATTTTAATATGCAAAAGGATGTGTTCAGTGTGAGCACCTATAATGCAACAGTTTGCCTGAAACGTATCTAGTAGAAAGTAATTTTAAATTGTAAATAAAAGATGTTGGGTTTTGTTACGACACAGGGTGGATAGTTGGGAAGTACTATCATTGTACGCCAGATCTGTCATAAGACTTCCTAATAAATAGTGGCTCAGAGGTTAAGAAATCGTGCCATTTTTCTATTGAAAAGTGGCTTAGAGGTTACTGAATTGTGTCATTTTGCATCTCTGGCTCAGAATCCACACTTGATAAATCTGTTAATTGCATCAAAGAATATTGACATGAAAGAACTGGGTTCCACTTGGAGATTTTCCTTTTATCTGCATCTTTCCTTTGATAATATTCAGGATGAAGTGAACCTCTCTGATGGGAAAATGGGCAGAATGCGAACAAGTTCTGTATAAGTCGGACTTGACTGGGTGCTGTTAACAGACCTTCGAGATTACCAGAATGGTCATATTAACTAGAAATCATGACTAAACAAGCAGTGTTGTTCTAAGTAGACTTTGAAAGGCCTTTCTGAGAAGTATTGAAAAAACTGAAATAGGCTGTAATAAACTTCTGTTTGATGTGCATATAACATGTGCAGTGGTAGTACCTAATAGTTGCTAAAACCATTGTTGTAGGTAAAATGGAAAATGTACATAAGACAATCACAGCTCACAATTTTAACTATACCTCCTTATAAAAAACCTGATTTCTGAATGTAAAATTGAAACAGTAGCCACAAAACACTTAGCAGATGTTTAATTTTATGTATGTATGATTTTGTGTATGTGAGTAATCCTGGTTATTCGAATTGGGATAGTCAGCTGCATAAAATTAAAATGTATGTTGAAATACTTTGCTGGTTCAGGAATTGGGTAAACAAAGAAATAATATTTGTACATTCAGGCAGCAAATTAGGAAGAAGCTTTGTGCGTATGAAAAATATTCCTCGGCAGCAAAGAGACGTTCATCTTGTGAAAATAGAAAGTTAAGTTCATTCCTTGAGACACTTTTCAAAACATTACAGCTTAGTGCAAGGTCAGTAAAGAATTCCCCACCATGCCCCCCATCATCTCTTGCATTATATGGTGGCTTAGCATGTTCCTCATAAGGAAGACCATAATGGAAAACACAAAGTTTCTTCGTTGGATATAAATGATCAATCAGACACAGGGTAATATATGAAGGTTTTCACTTTTAGACCTACTTAAGTATTGACTCTTGTTTCAAAGATACATGAAGCCAAGTCCCTTTGCGCTTTGAATTAATTTATGTATCATTACTGTGGAATTTCTTAACAGTTCATTTTGCAGTCATATTGACTGCATTAACCAGAGATCTCTTTCCATGAGATACCATTCTTTTCTTTTTCCTTCAAGAAATGAAGTACCTCTTATTTGCTGGAAATCACCTGAGGTACGATCTAATTAGTATGTTAAATTCAGGGTGATTAGGAGAGAATGTAGCCAAATTTAATTTACAGTAAAAGGTTGTATAGTCACATTCAGTTTTTATGACATACTAAAAAATAAATGTAATACATAAATCTAGAGTATACAGTGCTTAAATGCAGGGATGCAAGCAAATGTTTTGGTTTTTACTTTGGATTTTTTATTGAATTAGTCTTAAAACTTCAGTCTGAGGCGCTTCACAATGTATTTAAAGTGTTTTCTATATGGTTTGATATGTAGTTTTTTGTAATCCCCATTTGTAGCTGTGGTGTTTCATTTTTTAGCTACAGGTTTTTTTATAGTGTGTGTATTTTTTGAAACAGTATGATATATGGCAGCCATCTGCAGCTCAGACTTGTTCTAAAATAGTAGGATATATTTTTACTTCTCTGTAGTATTTAAAACTCTTTGGATTTTCTTTGAAGAATTCTCTGCTACTCTTATATAGTGTGTGTGGTTAAAATCACTGAATTCTCAAGGATTTTATATTATGATTTCTCCTTGCTCAGGGCATACTCAGTTCATTATTTAAAAAATTAAAAGGGAGGATATGGCAGGTCTTGCTCCCTCTTAAATTAACAATTAATTAATGCTCTCTTGTTTCTGGAATAAGAGCAATATTTTACAGAGGTACAGCAGTCTGTAGCAAAGAGACTTTGAGGAATGATAGGGAGTAAGGAACTGCAGAGAGATCAGTGCTGTGTGCAAATCATTACTAATCTTAATGTCTCTTATTCCATCATTTTAGAGCTGATAGATATCACGTGTACCCTGCTACTGCTGAACCCAGACTTCACCACTGCTTGGAATGTGAGGTACGTTGCACTCAGAAAATGCCATCAAAAGACCTTGGCCTTGAATGAGTCAGCTGAAAGCTTTGTTTCAAGTGTTTGTTAGTGATGCAGCAAGAACTCGTCAACTAAGAAGTGCTGAAGGAATGTTAAAAATCTCTACTTTCCTATATGTTGCAGATAGTTTGAGACTAGCTTTTTGTTTTGTTGGTTTGTTTGTTTGGGAGTTTTTTGTTTGTTTGGGGTTTTGGTTGTTTTTGTTTGTTTGTTTGTTTGTTTTTATTGAGGGCTGGTGATTACAGGGCTGCATATGAAGGCATGTTTGCACCACATTTTCAGGGTGTATAAGACCCACGGAACTACCATTCCTCTTTCCTCCTGCAGTTAATGAGAGTAGTGCTCAGCTGATGTCTGCTGTGTGTATTCACTGTTCTCATTTTTACCTCTCTTTGAGTTCTTTTGAGATTCCAGCTCAGTTTGCTGCCACTACCAGTGCAGGCTATCAAAGCTTAGTAGATACACTGCAAGAGAGGAGGAGAAGGTGTCTACCCTTTATTTCAAACACATTTCCCCTCTCCCCTCTACTTGTACCTTTTGGGTTTAGCATAGTTTCATCATTGGTCAACCTTCAGAACTTGTCCAGGAGTCATAATGGAGGAGGAGCAGGAATTTACCTCCTTGCTCTTCAGGAGGTGCAGAAACACCTCTGTTTACTTTTGTAAAGTTCAGAGTTGCAGGAATATTCTCTTTCTGCTACCAAGGTAAGACTGGAGACAGTCTATAAAAGCTACAGTTTCAGGAGGGCTGGAAGGCTGACAAAACTATGATAGTCTTTAGGAGTACATTAATGGAAAACAGGACTTCTGTAGCTACGGTGCACTTTTGCCGGTGTTCTAGGTCATTAACAAAATGACCTAGAAAGATGATGGCTGCGTCTAGTTGTCAGCCCTAGAGCAAAATCAGCTTTCTTTTTTCTTCTTTCACTGCTGATATAGTTCTGAAGGATTCTGATGTGTTCTGTATCTTTCTATCTCTCAGGTCTGAAAAAGGGGGATGAATGTGATAGCAAAGGGTTTAGTGTCATATAAAATGTATAACTTGAGTAGCTTTGAAGTGTTAAAATGGAATTAGGATCTTGTATAAGTACTAGAGCTGCTACACTAATCTCATTTTATGGTACTTATAATTGATTTTTTGTTTATGTTTTGTGGAATTTTTTTTACTGCACATGCATTCATCCTTATCAGTCAGGCTTTTTTGTGCCTGACAGCTGAAAGAGTTAGCTTTTATGTGCATGAGAAGAGTAGTTCAAAGTTGTAAGTGGAATTAAAAATGCTAAGGAATATGGATGAGGATTGTTTTCTCTTTTATGATGTTTATGATTTACCAAAACATACAAATTATTACAGAAGTGGGCCTTACACCCCAAATTGTTGACTAGTGATCTACCAGTCAGTCAGTCTGTCTTTGAAGCTCCATTTAGCATCCAGAGAGATCTTGTTACACAAGCCAGTCAGTATCTGTGGAGGTTACCAGCGAGCCCATTCTAGCAAAGGAACTGTTTTCCTAAATCTGACCTTCATTGTTCTAGGCTTCTGCTGGGAGTTTGCTCTTTTGAAGGGGAGGTACTTTAGTTATGTATATGTCGATATGTATTTCAGCTTCTTTTTGAAATTACAGCTCAAGCTAGTCAAACGTGTGGCATAATGTCACAGAGTAGAAGACTGACTGTGTTCTGTACAGATGCTGGTGATAAATCCTTATCCTGAGGTAGTCCGAGCTGAGAACTAATTGTATGAGACTTGCACTCTTCTTGTAGAACATGATGGATCTGTTGTGGGACGATTGGTTTTTTGTTGCTCAAAATAAAAAGTGTTCTAGTTGTTTACTGAATAGCAGCCCTGCACACAGTGTGTTTTTTGTAATTTATTGACTTTTTCATTGTCGGCTGGGATAATCCCTTTTTCATATGTTGAATTCTACTGAAAGTTTCAGAGATAGTGGTTGACTCAGTAGCACTGAACTTGAAGATACAGGGAGAGAAAAGGAAATCCCTTCCTAGGAAAGGACACAGGACTTGGCAGAGCCAAGTCAGAAGACTTGAATGGTGTTGTGGAAGACAAGTGGGCATTTCAGCTCAGGTGACAATCACAGAAAGTCGTATCTGATTAATGAAGCACAGGAGAACACAGAACTTTAGACATGTTATCTAGGTCAACTAGGACTAGATGGTCTGCCTTGGCTTTGTAGCATTCTGAACAGCTGCAATGTACCTACTACATATGTTTGTTGTTTATTTATTTATTTAAATTAGAAGTGACTCAAAAGTTACAGAAGAGCAGGGACTATAACCTAAACCCTGAGACCCTGAGCAAGAGGTAATTGTATGGCAGAGAACGTCTTGCTAAAGAGTAGATGTATCACTTCCTAGGAACTGCGAGAGAAACCCCTGTTATACTGAGTGGCATAAGAGATATCTCCAGTTGTTAATCCTAAATTCAGTTAGCTTGTGTTTTTAGAAGTTGAAAAGTCTTGCAAGTTAAAATGACCAAAATTTTCATGGAAGTGATTGTAAAGGAATTTTCATAAATGCCTTTGTTCTTCCTGTTATACTTCCTGGCATGTACAATTGATGAAAAGACATTAGGTAACAAGATTATCTGAAAAGTCACATTTTGCTTTCAAATGTCTTCAAAGGTGTCAGCATAAGGCAATTAAAAATTATTCCAGATTATCTTTTATTGAAGCTATAATCCTTAAGACTGAAACATTATCTGTGACCCACATGGCAAGTAATTGGTAAGCTAGAAATTATATATCCCAAGTTGGATGTTAGCTGCAAGAGCTTAGAAGTGGTTTATGTGGGAGTGTATGGTACTTCAGTCACACTAGTGCTTGCGGTGCTTTGTGAATGGGAGAATCTCTCATTTGAAAATCATAGCAGCTAAAAACAGCTTTTCTGCTACAGCAGTGAAGGTGGATCTTGTCTGACCTGTTCCTCAACTTTGCAAAAGAGGAAGTTTAAGAGTGTATAAGTGTGAGGCTGTTTACTTAGAGTGAATGTTTTAATATAGAAACGCTTTCTTCACTGAAAGTTTAGGTTTTGGGAGGTAGGTGACCTGGTAATCTAAATCTTTGTTAAATGTGTACATGCATTTGTTGTAAGTATCAGACTGATCTAAGCTGTGTTTTCATTGTGTGTGTATGGTAAGTAATTTTTACCAAAATGTCACCTTTTGCATTGCAGTAATGAGGCAATTGTTCTACCTGCTCTAGTGCTGACCCTGAATGTTTATTTTGTCTGCTTTCAAAATTTGAGTGCATTAGAACAGAATGGTCTGGTCAGTCTGCCACTTTTGATCAGTATATCTGAACTGCCTGTTAAAAACCATCTAAAAGCATCCAATCTGAAGCATGCTGGAACTTGGTTGAGATAAAAACAGGTGCCCCAGTAGCTATCAGAAGCAAAACTTCCATAAGGGTTTATACATTCCCCACTCTGCTTCAATTTTGAATAATATTTGCTCACTGTTAGTGTTGCAGCCATTAGCTTCTGACTGTGGTTATAAGTTTCAATTACAGCAACACAAAGCCAAAGTAACAGATGGAGTCAGTTTCCTACTAAAAATTACCAACTCAGACAGAAAATATGTACTCACAGAAAGGAAATATGTCAATTTGTTTATGAGACTCGCCCATAACTTTAGGGCAACATTGTGTTTTCTGCGTCAGACTGCAGAGGAGTTTTGCCTTCTTATTTGATAGCAGATCTTTCCAGAATTTATTTCCTCCCCTCCCACTGGGGTCTTTTGGTCAGAGAGTCGATCATTGCTACTCGCTTACTAGTGTCATGCCTATCATTATGATGAATCAGAAATTATTGGAAAAACCAAAACCCAAACCCATGCCAAAATTGCTTCTGCTTCTTGCACTCTCAGTTTTTAGTTGTGACTTCTGCAGGTTCTGGGAAATGTGTGTTTTCTTTCTGCAGCTTGTAACTTTGGAACTTACTGTATCTTTACTTCAAAGCTGCTACCTACTAGATTAGAGAGTAGGGTATGAAGACTAATGCCCTTGGAGTAACCGGTGATGGGGGATGTCTACAAACGTGCTCAGGACAGGCAGTAAGAGTTATAACGCTATAAAGAAGAGGGTGAGGGGTAAGGAGTTCTGTGCAAAGAAGGTGAAAAGGCCAAGTATAGATTTTCATTTTGCTCTGTCTGTGGGAGGTACTCTAGTAAGGGCTGTGTTGGATGAACATTAGGTTTTGTCAGGGCAAATTTTCAATTTTTTTTAACCAAAGATTGGTTTACATTTAAGTAAACTGAGCAATTGCAGCCTTTTTGTTGAGTTTGTAAAACATTGTACACACAGAGAATATTTTCCTTTTCTAAATAAATTTAGAGAACCTTGACACTGTATCTTGAATAGTATTTAAAAGTAAGTGTGGAGGAGTGCTATGTGTAAGAGTATTTCCAGATGTACACAGTGATCTAAGGGCTTAATTTGAAGAAGGGATGTTTTTTCATATGTGTAACCCTCCAGGTAGTTGGCTTAGTAATTTTTGGGTAGGTTGACAATTAATGGGTTGTATGTGTTCAGATTAAGATAAAGTTCTTTGTGCACATATGTATAGTACATATGTATGTATAGTGGAATGGATTAATGCACTAAGGGGTTTTTAAACTCTTGTAGTTTGACAGTGAAGTTCTGCTATGGTACAAAGGAAATGCCATGCAATTTGTTATTGGGATTTGTGTTCTGTTTTCAGGTTACTACTTTTATTCACACAGATTTATTTTATCTTTTGTAGGAAAGAATTAATACTGTCTGGCACTTTAAATCCACTTAAAGATTTGCATCTTGGAAAACTGGCGTTAACCAAGTTTCCAAAGAGTCCAGAAACATGGATTCATAGGTTGGTTTCCTTTGCCTTCTATTGACTCCTGAAACAATCTTCCTGGGGTTTTTTTATTTCCTGTTCTTGGGTTAAGGAGAGTCATAGATGCAGGGGGACAACTGGAAATATATCAGGTTCTTTGAACCAGTCATTGCAGAATACTGTGCTTTGGCATTGGAGCTACCTGTCTATATTCTGCACTTAGAACTGAAATCATATGTACCTTTTCTTCTGCATGCTTTTTATGTAAACTTCGGAGGGAAGATACATTTCCTTAGAGTTTCCTTATCGTGTCTTGCAGCACCTAAAATCCTCAACCTGAAAATTCTGATTCCATCAGTTGTAGCTATTTGAGCACTGTAGGTTTCTTCTTTCCCTCAAATTTACTACTGTATTGTTTGTCTACATTTCAGAAAGTTAAGGTTAAGGTCAACCTTTGTAAATAAAGCTGGGTTCTTTTCCATTTCCATACTGTTCTTTCTGGTTTGGTGAATTTATTTTTATAATTTCTAACTTAAACTAAATCATTCAGTCACATCTACTGGATATGAAAATAACAGATCACGTTTGGAAAACTTAACTCCAGAGTTACTCAAGTTCACAAAGCTAACCATCTCAGTCATGACTGACCATAAAATGCCTGTAGCAGAGCTAAGTGAAGCACAGATCCATTACTCAACTTTAAAACAAAAAAACCCAAAAACTTTGTATGCATGTCATTTTTTTTCATTATAGAAATAAAAAGCTAGGACTACCTTTTATAGACAGCCCTGAAGAGATTTAAATATATTACATTAGGAAGCAGTTTGCAATGTTTGTGTTTAACATGTCCAGCATTAGGGCAGCTGTAAAGTTGATACTGCATTAGGGCCTTCATGCTCTATCAAGAACGTAAAACTTACTGACTACGTGAGAATTTTTGGAAGTGGAAGTTTTTGGTAAACTCTTGTTTGTCAGTGCATGCATGAACTTAAAAGTCTCAAGATAAACCTAGTAAGCAATGCCTGGAATGATACAAGGTGTTTCATTGATAAAGCAACAACAATTAATTTCTGCAGCATCAATTTTTAATTTTGATGTCCAACTTCTTTTTGCCATCTTCGTGCTAATGACTTGTGCTGCTTGATGGCTTTGAAGCAAAAGTGTGTAGCTACAATGGGAAAAAATCTTGGACTTTGTTATAGTTTACCTTTTTCTACATGGTAGCTAACACCAGAAAAATAGGGGTTTTTTTGCATGTTAATACTTCTGAACTTGGTGCCATCCATATCATTATGATGATCAATATGTTTTTATCAAATAAGTCAGAATGTTAGGTTCTTTATATTTATTTACATTTTAGAAATAATAAAATATTCTGACTATAATTTCCATGCAAATGTAAATTAGGAGTATTTTGATAGTGTCATAATTTGTTTTTTTTTCTCTTACTTGCCTACATCAGAAAAGTGTATTTGAGGATGATTACACAAATGTTTGGCTTGGATTTGGATATGCTGACCATGATTGATACACGTTAGAAAATAAGATTCTCAAAAATACTTCTCTGCATCAACATAATGATTAATTTTGGGTTTCCTATTACCCCATGGTATTAAATCTCAGGCAGACAATGCAAAAACCTTTAATGGGGCTATGAATAAAATTCAGTAAAACATAACCAAATTGTTTTTTCTTATGCATAAGAGATACACTCACTGAAAATGTCAAATACCTGTCATTCATTTTTTCAGATGACCTCCTGCTTTATATTTTGGGGGTTCAGATATATTTTGTGCATATACAGTCAGTATATCTGTTTATTGTGCATTTGTCACTTAATAATCCTTGGTTTGTTTGTTGTTATTCCAGGAAGTGTAAGAGCAATAGTAACATGCAAAAGTGAAAGTGACTCCAAATTAATTGGAGTAAAATTAATGCAGGAAATTTTGCATAAAAAACAAATAATACCATGATATTCAACAGGTTCTAGAGATACATTTTAAATCTTCTGAGGTTGTGATTGCACTGTCTAGAAAGTAGCTCTAATTTAATTTTATGGGTTTTTTGATGCTGTAGCCACAGAGACCGTAAAGTCTGTATTTTGTAACTCTCTCTTGGATGTGTAATTGATCAGATTTCCTTGGCTTAAAAAGCATGCTTGTTTCAAGAAACGGACATAATTACAGAGTTGAAATAATTGGTCTTTATGGTTTTACTCAGATGTTGATGTTAATGAAATAATACATGTCTTTTGTTAAAAGAGTGACATGCTCATTGAGTTTTTTTGCCTAGACTATTTTTGAATTTTCCATTTCTTGCATAGTTGTGGACTGAAATAAAAAAATGCAAAAGGTGATGTTTGGATCAAAGATACTTTTAAAAATTAAAAGTTAAGTCTACAAAATTACCACATTTCATAAAATACTGTTACACAAGAGTCAGAGCATGTTTTGCTTAGCTATACATCTTTATTTAGAACAAATGGTGTATAGGAAGAAAGTGTTCATATACTGCTTGTAACTTTCTGCTGAGAAACACAGTTTAAAATTGCGTTATAAATTGTCTTCCAATACTTTGTTCTTTTTTGATAACTGTGTGAAAAAGATAACAATGTAGATAAAACCCATGAGTGAACAAGCATATTGTGAATGTCTTCAAATGAGACATAAAGCAGATGAGTTAACTTTTTTTTTAATACATGGTTTTTATATATGTATATATATGTAGATATATAATTTTACACATAGTTTGCAAAGTAGAATTCTCTCTTTCAAAAAAGTTAATTTATTACTTTATTTTGTTTATTGATTTATTTTAACTTGGAGTTAAAAGAAATTTTGACACCTTTGAAAGAAGCAATTAATTGGTTTTGAAACCAGTGTGGGCCAGTACAAAACAGGATAACCTCCATGTTGCACACCAGAGGATGCTACTCTTTCCAGAGCATTCCACACTGGACCATAGCAATTCCATTTACATGGGGTGCTCTGTGAAAATTTACACATCCATAATCTGGTTTTTTAGAATCCTTTTGTGTTGGGGCTGCAGATGCAGCATTGAGGTTGCCTCTAAAAATACTACTAAAATTTTGTCCAAAGTAAAATAAAAAAGCAGAACATGTAGGAATCTGTGGTTCTCAGACATGTGAAATCAAATACATGTAATTCATCACTAGAAACATTTGTTTTGCTTATACCTGTAGCCCTTGAAACCATAAGCTTTTTGGGCTTTGTTACTGCTGGTGGTGTACAGAAACCAGTTTGAATTGCAGCATGCAGTACTGTCAGACATAAAAAATACTAAGCAGAATTAATTGTTTATTAAATCACTTCTTTCTGTCTCACTTTGGCTACTTCATTTTTAGTGCTATGCAAGACTTTGAAAAAGGAGTGCATTAGAAATTTCATGCACATGCTGCTTGCACTCTTTCACAAATTTGCTGTTTCCTTCTGTTTCATTTTTATGATGCTGTAAGGAGCCATGATCACTTAGAGTAAGCAGACTGATGCAGCTGTGTTGGGAGTGCGATGATGGTGTTGTAGTTTATAGCATGGCAAACTTTTAGATGGTTGTTTACCACTCGCTCATTACCTAGCTACAGTATAGTTCAGAGAATAGAAATACTGGAAAGGTTTGATTTATGCACATGAAAAACCCTCTTTTTCTCTTAAAACTGCTCTCTCACCATTAATGCTTTACATCGTTTAACCAGACGATGGGTGCTGCAACAACTAATTCAGGAAAACTCCTTGCCCAGTCTTGCAACTAAAGGAAACTTGGGAGCAGCACCTGTGGAGAGGATTCACCGACTAGTGCAGGAGGAAATGAATGTCTGCTCTGAAGCTGCTGGGAGATATCCAAGCAACTACAATGCCTGGTCCCATCGCATCTGGGTTTTACAGCATTTGGCAAAGCTCACTGTCAAGGTATAATAGAATAGTGAATAAATTCTTAAATTTTCTTCTCAAAAAAACCCAACTACTGGTTTACAAAGCAGATTGTGTAACATGAATTAAGAGTATCAAGTGAAGTTATCATGGTAGCTAAGAATGTTTTAAGAAAGGGGGAAAAATCTTGCAATGAGTTATGTTTTGCATTTTTCTTGCTAGTGTAAGCAGGTTCTGCTCAGCAGAAATAACATTTTTCTTGCCTGTATACAAAGTTCTGTTTTTCTCTTAGTAGCCGGTGCTAATGTATGTTTGGGAAGTGTGTAGATGGGACTATGTGGGTCAAAGTCATGAATGGACAACTCTAAGTAATTCTTCCAGCGCTAGTCTTGAAATTCCTAGTAGAGGAGAAAGATAATACATAACAGATGTTGTTTTGATAATGTAATATCAATGTTTCGATGCCCTTACTCAGCTTACCTGTGGTTTTAGAATATTAAAGGACCAAATAAAGACAGCAGGAATTTTGGAGAAAGCATAGTAATGCTTGTAACTAATTTCTTCAGTTCCAGCAGTATTTTTGACAGCATTTACACTGGGAGCTGATTAAACTATTTCAGGGACAGCAGGGACACTTTATTCAGTGTTGAATGTTTTGCGTCTATAACATCAAGACCTGCAGCAAAGCAAATTAGTTAATGTGACATGGTCTAGGCAGTTTTCTAATACCATGTTTTCTCAGTGGTTAGGTGAATTCTTTGTGTTAGGTTGATACATTGACACATCACTCACTTTTAACAGCAGCTTCTGCATTTTGCCACATAGGGTTGTAAGGGAGGAATTTACTGAACATTGTTGAGTCAATATAGCCATTATTTTATGTCCATTGCAGAGACAGGGCAGAATTTGGACTTGTCTGCCTAGTAAAGCTATGAAAATATGAAAAGATAGTTGTCAGAAGACTCAGAATTGCACAATTCAAATAGATTGGAGTTTAGAAGTTAGGGTTAGAAGTGTATATTAACAGAAAACACGAACTTTAATATCTTCAAGAGCTTATTAAAAGGTGAAGGGAGTTAGCACTGTTAAAGAAAATTCAAGTCATTTTATGCCTTAAAACAAGTTCTAAACAGCTGTGTGTCCATTATACTGGTAGCAGTAGTCTGAGGATCAGGATTATACCTTCAGTGCTTTTTGCACTCGCTATTCCTTACTGATTTAATTAAAGAAAAATAATTACATTGTAATAGAAATAACTCTTTGCCGAACTGGAATTGTTCTGGTGAGTTTATTCATTGTCAGTTGTGAGTGCTTTTTGTGACAAATTACAACCATGCCTGTGAAGGAAGTATTTTAAATTTGTTTGACCATTCCAAAGTCTATTTACCTTGCCTGCCATCCCACTTCCCCATCTGATCTACTTCTTTTAGAATGAAGACTGTGGAAGTGACTCTTTTGTCTAGAGTTGCCTACCTGGTTTCTCTTACCGCTGGCAAAATTTCAGTGGCGCTGTTGTTCCTCCACAAATGTGTTAAACCTGTCGGGAAGTATCTGTGTTGGCTCTAGGTTTTCTTCAGGACACCACCAATGCATCTCATCAGAGGCCTAGTAGAAGGTGTTTGGGATACAGGAAAATTAGGAAAAAGTGTGGAACATAAAAGACAGTGAGCAACTTGTGATAAAATTTGTCTAGGTAACTTTAAGAGGCAGAATTTGCAAGATATGATGCAGAGAAAAAAAGCAAATAAGTAGGAGAACAAGGAAAAAGCAGGCATTACAGATTTTCATAAAAATATGCAGATGCATAGAATCACAGAATGGTTTGGCTTGGGAGGGATCTCCATCTCATTCCAACCACTGTGCAATGTGCAAGGATGCCACTCATTAGATCAGGCTGCTCAGGACCCCATCCAGCCCAGTCTTGAATACTGCAATGGAGGGGGCAGTGGAGCAGTCCCAAGACAGAGCGCTGAGGGGCCCATCACCAGTCTCCACCTGGACATAGAGCTGTTGACCACTCCTCTCTGGCTGCATCCATCCAGCCAGTTCCTTTCCCACTGAATGGACCTTCCATCAAATTCACCTCTCTCAAATTTGGAGATAAGGATGCCATGAGGAATCCGTATCGAATGCCTTCCACAGATTGATGACATCTGTTAGTCTTCTCTTGTTGTCTTGTTGACCACTGCTGTAACTCTGTCATAGAAGGCCGCCAGATTGGTCAGGTATGATTCCTGGCTGCCTTGTGTGACCTCCTTGTCTCGAGGGTGCCTTAGCATGTCTTCTGGAAGGATCTGCACCATGATCTTGCCAGCCACAGAGGTGGGGCTTAGTGGTCTCCAGTTCCCTGGGTCTTCCTTTCTCCCCTTTTTGAAAATGGGAGCAGTGTTTCCCTTTTTCCAGTCACTGGGGACTTCCCCCAACCACCATGACTTCAGATACAGTGGACAGTGGTTTGGCAACATGAGCCAGTTGTCTCAGGACTCTGTAATGTGGATCTTCAGTGCCATAGACTTGTGGCTGTTCAGCTTCCTCTAGTGGTTGTGAACCTGCCCTTTGCTTATACTGGGAGGGAGTTTGCTTCCCCACACAAGAGTCTAGAGGATCAGGGACTAGAGAGAATTGGGAGGGAGGCCTGACTACCAGTGAAGACTGAGACAACAAATGCAGTACTTCATCCTTTTCCATATCAGTTGCCACCAATTCTTGTTTATTAGGGAGCATTCCCTCTCCTTGGTCTTTTTTTGTGACCTGTATACTTACACAGTCCCTCTTTATTCTTTGCGCCTCTTGCCAAGTTCTGTCTGGCTTTTCCTTGGCTTTTCAGTTCTTTAGAGGTTTTTTACTGGCACGGTGTCTCATGTAACACCTTCAGCAATTTCTGTGTTTGAATATCTGAAAAGTATGATAAATTTCAACAAGATGGAAGACTAGAACATGCTGAAAAATTGACAGATAAAACAGTCACCGATTCTGTGGCCATTTAGTTCTTGCAAGGCTGACTGAAATTAAGGAGTACCTGTATTAATTGGGGCTGTATTTCTGCTGTAATACAAACTTTGCCTGTAGTGTGAATTGTACAAGGAAGCAGAGGCCCAGAAACATAAATTGTGTGTTGTATTATCATTTAAATATGACTTCTCAAAACAGGTTTATCATTAACAAAGCTGTCGACCTGCTTTGGAGGATTTCAAGAGGTAGGCTGTGTAATAGGATTTTGGTTATTCTTTTCCCTTTGGTTTGATAATCCTAATGCTGCTGCGTATTGAATCTCAGCTCAAGCTCGGGGAAAAAGATATAAAATGCTAGAGAAGACAGTTTTGGCCCAGTAGGAAAATTTACTGAAAGGATGTAGATGTTTCTGCTTTCTTGCACTAGACAGTCAAAAACATTATCTTCTTTCAATATAGAAATTTCAGTTTGTTCTAGCTGCAGAATTTGAATGGCATTAACAAGTTTACATAGTGTTTAAATAGTGTTCATTAATATAAATCAAGAACTTATCAAGAATAGATTGTTTGAAACTAATCTAATATTTCTGGTATTGGAATACTTGCTTTGGAAAGCCCGATTTCAGGTTTCTCACATGACTGTATAGTTAGTGGGGTTAGATCATGGGCTCCAGATACCTACTAAAAGGTGGATGCATAATTAGTTAGAGAAATGGGGTAACAGAGTAGTAGGGGTGCAGTCTTAAAATTCATACACACCATGTTGCTTCAGTGAAATTATGCAGATAGAAAAATAGGGTGTAGTTCAGCAAGGATTGACAAACTTTTTTGTTTTCTTTAGATCAGAACAAACAAGTAGTGGGGTAATTGTCATTGTCACACAACACCTCTCTTGTGTGATGCCCGGAAGACAATGTGTTCATGAGACACAAAGTAGTTTTTCTTGTAGCCATCCCCTTGGCTTTTTCTTAGATGACTGGGTCTACAAAAGTGCTAGTTTCTGTGAGTGGACATTACTATATTTATCTAGTTATCCTTAAAAGTTTGTTTCCCCAGTTCTTTTAATTTCCCCAGTGTCCCAGACCAAGGAGGAAGTTCAGGTCTGCAGTTTATGGTTGGAAAAGTGCTCTAAAACAAGCAAACACATGGTCAGGAAGGGTATAAGAGGGAGTGCAGACCCAGAGGTTGAGACAAAGGTCACTGAGCACATGTCATGTTCTGGGGAAGGCTGCCAGTTCCATGGTAGTCAGCTGACCACCAGAGGTAGAAAAGAGGTTGTCAAGAGTGGGGAGGGAGGTATTTTCATATAGTTTCCTCTTTCTTCACAGAACAGTGGCAAAGGTCCTGTACAAGGGCTTGTAGTGGTAGAGATAGAAATGGAGAAAGCTGGCTTTGTGAGAAAGAACCTCTCAGAATTCAGACATCAGCTGGCTTTTTCTTTTACTTCCAGTTGTTAGAAGCATCTTCCACTGGTAATCTGAGGTTCCTAGGTAGGAGGCTGTTTTTTGTAGATCTGAAGAAGTTTTCATGGTAGTCTTCTGTGTTGCTTTTTCAAAATAGGTGTTCTGGTTCAGGTAAGGAGCAATGCTGGGAGTAATTTTGTTCCCTTTGTACAGAGAGTTAAAATGTGTAATTAACATGTTCCCCTGTAAATTTGTAGCTTACAAATATTTCCATTAAATGAATTGGATTCTTCCAAGGTCTCAGTTGAGCATAAATGTATGTAGTACCAATCACAGCTGAATAAAGGCTGATCTGCTTTTTCTGAGCCTTATGTTGTTCTTAATAGACTTAAAAATTTTGAAGTTCAGAAGTTTAAAATACTAAGCTCAATTCTATGAAGAAAGGAAAAGCTGATCTTATGGTTTAAAGTAAGATCTGGACATGGAGTTTTAGTCCCCTTAAGAACCCTGTGCGTGGACTGTTACTTAATACTGCACTTCAGTTTGCTGATCTCTGAAAGAAAGGTGATCCTGGTATCTTTTGGCAAGATTTAGAAAAACATGATGACTATCTTGGGTAGAAGACACTGTTTCCATTGTATTTGCTCCAGTTTCTTTTAGAACAGATGCCCCTAAAAAGCTGTATTGCTAGCCTTGTGTGTTTCCGTGGTTTTCTTTGTGGGAGGCTGTGGCTTTTGTGCTGCAGTATCTGAAAGAAGGACTTCTACCTATGAAAGTTATTTTGCATCAGGTGGTCCTGTTAAGTGATGTAGGTAGCTTAGGAGAAGAGGTTAAAAGCAAGAGTGTAACATAAGATTATTAAGATTACTTCCAAAAGTCTTTAGAAGTAAATGAAAATGGTAGTTTTGATCTCTTTGGATAGTTTAAACTCCGGAGCAGTGTGAGGAAAGAAGTTAAGGCCTGTGAAAAAAGAACAAACCACTGGCTCCAATAGAGAAAGCAAAGCATAGTAAAAGCTTTGTCTGGGAGCCAAACTTGCATTTCTCCCCAGCAATGAATTTTGAAAGTTTAAAAGCACTCAGAATTAAGAGACAATTCACAGGAGGCAGAAGTGTTAAAAACAGAGCTACAGTTGGCAATTGAAGTATTTACCAGAATTGTGAAAGCCTTTCTTGAGGTTCTTCAGTAGTAAAATCAAGAAACCTGATTATGTACAAGTACTTTTGTATTTCACCAGCTCTAGGGCTTTAAACATAATGTTATGGTTGACATTCTCTCATGGAAAATGAAGGGGCAAATTAAGTTTGGATTTTTTTCCTTTTAAGCAACTCACCTACCTTCTGACACACACAATCCACTGGGTAGAAAGTAAAAATCTTAAAGCTAATAGCAGTGTAGTTTGTACCTCCTCTAAATAGTATTTATTGCTAACCATTTTGAGATTCTTAAACCACTGCTTATTTCAGAAGTGGTTTGGATTCTTTTCCCACTCAGCTTGTGGGCAGGTTTCTGAAAAACCTGTCTTTTCACGGTTTGGAAGAAGTATTAATTTGTTTTGTGCAGAGATGCCAAGACGCTTTTCAACACATAGTAGAAAGGGCTCAGTGAGTCTTTTTTCTGTGTATTCTTAAACCATTACCATAGTGGCTGAAATCCCCCAAGAAGATATTTCCTTAATGCAGAAGCCGTAGTGGTAAGTTCCTCCATTATACTGGTTGATAACTGTCCCTGCATTTTGTTTCAGGTTCTCCTTGATGAACTTTCATCCACTAAATATTGGGTATCCATGCACGTCTCAGACCATAGTGGATTTCATTACCGCCAGTTTTTACTCAGTTCCTTGATACGCAGAACGGTGACTGACAAAAACATTCTGGTACAAAATCAGGTGGTAAATGAACAAAACCCTAGCGTTCAGAAGGAGGAAGAGAGTGAAGGGACAGAAGCTGCCTGTGCAGAGGAGCAAAGTGTGGATCTCCCCCGCCGTTTAGACGAAGAGATGGAACTGTGCAGTGAACTGATTGATAATTACCCAGGGCATGAAACATTGTGGTGTCATCGGTAAGAGGACTTGGTCAAAAGAGTTTCCTTCTGGTTTGTGGATGATTCTTCACATGGTATTTCCAAACAAATTGTTCTGGGTTTAGGAAGTACCACTCAATAAAAGGTTTTTAAGCTACTATATATTAAGCATTTGGAAAATGTTCAAGAGCATAATCAGAGCTATTGTGTGGGAAATTTGATTTGGCTTAAATATTTTGTGGTGTAAGCTCCACTTGACCTTGTAATTTGTGCAAGAGACACAAGATGCTGGTAATTAGCCTCCTCACACTTTAAATGTTTAAACACCAAAAAATGAACAAAAGATCTTCGACAGAAGATTGGGTGCAGAAAATGTTTGTTTTACTATCTGGGTGCAGGTTCCTGAGTAGGTAACAAGAGATTTACCAAAGTGACATGGAGCCCTTTCTAATACAGTGTGTGCAGAGACAGCAGATTTTGTGTCTGTGAGGGAAATCTGGTGGGATGGTAAATGAATTGAAACAGTTCAGCAGCAACCACAGGTTATTTTCAGTGCATGACTTTCTTTTTTTTTTTTTTTCTTCTTTTCTTTTCCTTTGAAGAAGGTGTGTGTTCTACCTTCAGCAGCACTTAAGCAAGAAACTTCCTCTCGTGAGTGGAGCGGTATCATCTGTGGACAGCAGTGATGAAAGTCTGAATAATTCCCACCACAGTCCTGCAACAAGTCACATGGCACAAGCTATGGATGTTGATAGTTTGAATGAACCCAGCAGCAAACAAGGTTATACCCAAGAAACAAAACGCCTGAAGCGTGCTCCTGTGCAGGACTCTCTTGGTCCAGAAATGGAATTCCGGTTTGTTGATAAAGTATTATCAACTTGTAGGGATGTGGACCAGGCCAGGTTTGCTACTGCCTATAGAAAATGGTTAGTTACTTTTTTAGGTCAGTGAAGGAAATGTCAAAAGCTTTCAGGGTTCTTCTCTTAGTGCAATATTCTCTTTTCAGACACAAATGCATGTCTTGGTTGCAAGTGTTAGCTAACTCTGTGTTTCTCTCTCTTTTAATCGTCAGTCATAAAGCTAAATTTCAGAGTAGGCATCTGTCACTTTAATAAAGAACTGGCATATGTTTTTAGTAAGCAAATGCAGTTTGTTACTTAATCTCTCAAAGAAATCACTCTTACCAGCTTCCTACCGTGACATTTTCTTTTTTTTTTAAACTTCTGCATTAAGGTGGACTCTGACTCATTTGGCTCTAAAAAAAAAAGAGGTAAAAGAAAAAAAAAATTGAAATGCTTGTGAAACAGAGTGTCTAGGAAAATGGGAGAATCTGTCAGTATCAGCTAAACCTGTTCCCAGTTTGTTCCTGTATGGCTAATACCTTACGGGATCCAGACTATATTTGATGAGTGCTATTATTTTTGTGTAGCAGTCTTTGGTAGAAGACCAGAATACAGTGTTTCTTTCTGAAGGCTTCAGTAACAGCTTTGGAGCTGTGATGCCTTTTACTGTTTTAACTCGGTTTTTGTTTGCTTATAAATTGTCATGTTATCTTGATAGGAAGGTCTGTAAGGTTGAAATCTTGATAAGAAGATACAGGAAAATGTGGCAGAAAATAGTTCAAACACATGTTCACCTACAGCCATAGCTGTATTTGGCTGTATTTGTGAATCGTTTTCTTAAAACAGACTACCTTCATTTCTTGCTTGGTGTTTATTTATTTATTTTATCTCAGCAATCCAGATCTAATCATATTTGATACACATTTCTGAATGTCTTTTTTACACTACAGATTCTCACCCTGCCAAATCACACATTGATAACTTGTGCTTAATCAAGACCCTACAAGTCCAATATTGGATGGAGTAAAAAGTAGCTCTTCCAGCTGATGATTGAGACTATACAGTTATAAAAACCAGTGACAGCAAGGAGGGAACTAACCCTTCCTTTCTGTTTTTTGAAGATCTTCAGTCTTTGTTGGCTTGGTTTTCTATTTTTACTCTTGAAGAAGAGCTCTACTCCAACCATACATCTCTGTTTACATGACTGTAAATTTTAAGGGAATTTGAAATCAATTATGAATGGGGTATTTTGTCATTTCCTTAGAATTTGTCTGTAAAAGGGATTTTTTACACTAGTAGAATTGTGTTGGTACACGGACCCAGGGAAAATATTCTACAACTGTAGAAGTCCATACAATGGCAACATTGCCTCTTTTAAAAGCAGACTATTCTCTGGGGGGATTAGATTTTCAAGTTAGTGTCCTTGCCATAATTGCTTTATTTGTCTTCTGCCCCATATGCCTCTTGACCATAAGTTTCAAGATGCTGTTTTTGTTGGGCAGAGAGAGAAACAATAAGGGAGGAAAAAGCACAGGTAGCCTGCTCAAAAGATGTCACTTTGAATCAAAAAAGCACTCAAAATGTGAAGTTCCTGCACTTCTGTATAGTTTGATGAATGGAGTTTACTCTTGCATTTCAAAATTAAAACAGACCACCTCCAGTCTTTGAGAGTATGTTCATGATTCATTTCAGGCACAAAAGTAGCTAAAAATGACATTTCTAAATGTACACTGTACTGTTTACAGTACATAAATAAGACTGATCCAGGCTTGAGCATCTCCATGTCAAAGCTTTGTTTCAGAGGACATCCACACCTGCCTCTCCATAGGTATGCATGTATTACATGCATACGTTAGCTTTGAGGTGCTATGGAATGCTGCGATGGTTTGGTTGATGGTTTTAGTTGCAGAAAACATAATTGTTGTCTGAAGGAGTTGTGGGATTGGCTTGGGAGCCCAGTTTTGTCATAAGGTGTTGCCTCAATGATCACTGACAAATGGGTAGGTTCAAGTACAAACAGGAGTCTGAACTTAAGTTCTTAACTTGAGCAAGAGCTTTTACACATCCCAGGAGACCTGATATTTAGTGAAGGTGGATGATATGTTAAATTATGTGTAGTAGCCTGGGTCAGCTTGATTAACAGTATCCCATTAATGACTCATATGAACCTGGAAAGTGTGAAGTCAAGGGGGCAGTGTATTAAAATCAGGTTCTTGGTCTTAGATTACTTCGTAATGTATTTGTGTGTTCTGTTTACCTTGGCAACATTTACAAGTTTATGAGAAAAATAGTAGTGATAGTAGCAATCTCAGAAGTGGGAGCATGATAAGAAACATTTCTTGAACTGTAGAAGGGTAGAGATTATCTCTTCTTGCACTGGAAAGACTGTGGCTTTCAGAAGAAAATACTAATATTAGAATCTGACTTGAAACTCATTATATAGTTCTTCCAGACTATAATCTGGACTCTTGCCATTCTCCGAGCTGTACTGTGGAAATTCTGTTCTTTTGAACTTGACATCATAAACATTTAAGCAGGTGCCCTCATATACATGCGTATAGTTCCTATTCATGTCAGCACAAGTGATGTATTCTTGTAGGATGACAAGATTTGGTCCTATGTAACTGAAGAGAGTTGTATTGAATTTTAGTACTTGAAAATGTTCTGAGAACTCTGATTAGAGATGATGCTGATATTCTTACTGCTTTTGTAAAACACTGATGGCTGTAGTTAACTCATGAGTGTGGGTTTTTAAAGTCTGCACTTCAAGGAAATATTCCCCTGCACTCTATTTTTTAAATCCAGTTAGAATAGTTCCATTTAGAAATGTTTGCAGACCTGAAAACTAAATAGTGAAATTGAAACAAGTCATACCTTTCTGTTTGAAGGAAATGCAAAAAGCAAGTTGTTAAATTTGAGCTTTAATTTTTAACAGTAACATATAAATTATAATAATAACATAATTTAACAGTAAAATATAAATTATATTAAGGAAAATCATATCAAAATTGCTTCGAACTGTCAATGTCCTGAACCCTCATGCATGAAACTATAGAAGAGGTACTTCTAACGTACTGTATTAAGCTCAAAACTGATGTGATGTTCTGGAACTATGATCTTTACAGCATACCTGTCAACCACTTGCTGTTACTGCAGAGTCCCGTTTGGGAACTGCTTGAAAAATAGAAAGTGGCTTTAGGCCATTGGTAGTTAATGTATTGAGCACGGCTACTTTACATAAGGCATTTCAGCTGTTTTGTGTTTCAGACATCAGAGACTAATAATTTAGTCAGTGAGCATTCCTGCAGAGAAAATGTCCAGCAGAAGCTGCAGAATTCAAAGCTCTCACTGTCTGAAGTTTCTTCAAATATAAAATCAAACTTTGTACATCTTTGTACATCTTAATGTAAAGTTCAGCATCTTTCCTAATTTTGTCTTCTGCTGTAGTATATGTCATTTGAATTTATTCTTTTTGTTCACTGGATTAGTCTTTGTGGAAATTTGTTTGTACTGGAAACAAAGGGTTTCGAGGAACAAATGTAATTTGAAACTACAGAATTTGGAATAGAAGGAACCACATTTTAAAGTGGTAAATTCTCAGCTGCTAAATACAGTAACTGTTATTTCACTGGCATTTTGTTTGTCTTGTGTGTTACAGTCACTGGAGAAACATGCAGCATTAAAGACAGCTACAATAATGAACTTGTATGAAGTCATTGGAATGCATTGTTACAGCTGCTCTGATTAATATTCTTAATGTACTCATGTCTGCATATTTGTGTTTTATTGACTCCTTACATATTCTTTATACAACAAAATCCATGTGTCATTTAAATAGGGGATAAAGCAACTTGTCAGTTTATGCTATTTGATTAATTACCTTGTATGTAATATGCTTTAAGACAAATAAGCAAAGTGATAATATAGTGAGAAACCTTAGATTTTTGTCTTAAAATGAAAATTTCTGGCATTTCTAGTTTTATTCTAGTGCTGCTTAATTAGAATGTGTAGCTAGACTTTATGGATGGGAATGATTTTTTTCCTAAGTAGATAGTTAATTAATTTTTAAAACAGTACTGTATAATATTGATGAACAGAAAGAAAGGGTTTTGGAAAGGTTTGTCTGCATAACCAGACTCAAAAAGCATACTTTTTTCAAGAACATATAATACACTGAGTAAAATGTGAGTAACAGAGAATAATTTAGGTTATGAGTCTTTAGAGATTTGATGATTAAATTTTTGGACAAGTTGTTGTTTGCTTAGTTTTGTTTTGCGTTCTGTAAGGGAAGAGTGTTTTTTGTTTTGTTTTGTTTTTTTTTTTTTTTTTAAATCTAGTAGGAGGTGAACCATTGCACTTAAAATATGGGGATGGGGAGAAAAACTCATAACTGCTGAATTGTATCTCATAGAGCAATTTTGGAAAAAGCAATGAACTGACACTGAAACGTAAATGTCACTTCAAATGCATCTTTGCACTCATTGGGTGATAAGAGATATGTGTAATTAGATCTTACTGTTTTATTAGTGTCAGATACAAAAAATAGGTTGTAACTCACCAATTCTCAAATGCACTTCACATTCAAGTTAGTTTCGAAGGATGTTCAGTGTCCCTGTCTATGAGACCTTTCCTTGTGTACTCAGAGGTATGTTTCTTTTCAGCCTCTTCTCTGTTCTTCCAGCCAGCAAAGAAGAATGTAGCAAAGCATTGGTAAGGCGGCCTAATTTTGTGTTTGAGTAACTCTGACTACCTCCCAAAAAGTACTTTGACTGATGACCATTAGTGGAGTTCATCAGGCTCAGTTATTTCAGAACCTCATGCTAGGCCTATATCCTCTTTCAGATGTGAAAAGCAAGAGCTTTGTCAATGAATCTGTCAAGTTTTCCAGGGACAGTTTGAAGGAGAACAGAAAAAAATACTGTAGTTAAAGTTGGAAAAACTAGAATTAGCATAAATTTTCATTTGTCTTTTCCTCTGAAGAAGCACCTCTGTTGCTGAAAAATGGAGGAAATATGCTTCCAGGGAATTCCATATATTATGCTTTTGAACTGCAGATCTGACACTTCCTAGTGGCTTTTGCTTAGTGTGTAATGTTACTTCTCAGGGCATAGTCTATTATAGTGAATTAGGATGCTTTTTTACAGTTTTATAATTATTGATTAAAAAGGAAAAAGAGCTAAACATGTAACTGGCTTTTAATTACTATTTTTTTTTTGTCTAGCATAGTATTTTATAATCTACCCACATGCCAACACTGTACCTAGTAATGTACAGTAGACCTTACCATCTCATCTGCTTCATACTGTTATTCTGTTGAATTTCTGTTGCAGTCTTGCAAGAAGCTCCTGACAGTGTTGGATTTATTCTCTGAGTTTCCTAGTAGTATTCAGTAAAGTAGTTAGTATCTCAAAGTATGTGGTAATGATGGGGAAGCTTTTTACAGCATCTGTGTTGATGCACCATAGGTCTTAGATTCAGTATTTGAAAACCTTTTGTTAGGATTCTAAATCTATTTTGATAGCTGTCAAACTCTTATGTGCAACAGAGTTATTCTGGAAAACAGAATTCTTAAGTGAAGTCTGCTTTGTTAAATATCTTTATCTACACCATCTGGAACCTGCTGTACATCCTACTGTATAGACAGATGTGGGGAGAACCCACAGTGAGGTGCATGTTTTCTTCATGAGACATTTTCTGAATGGAATATAATTATGGTTAAACAAAGAGCTTTTCTTGGATGAGGTACACCTGTCTGTTCATTGTGAATAAAGTTATTAAATTGGTACATCATTAATATGGTAAGATTTGCTGAATGGCTGCATGTAATGAGTAGGTAAAAGGAATGTGTTTTTTAAATCTGCTGTTAAAAATCACATAAATGATAAGAGGTACTAGAATTTGTTTTTAGAAAGCAAAATGTACCTACTGTGTTCATTCCGTTTTGTATCAGTTTTTCTTTTTTGAAGTAGCTACATTTAAAACTGAAATACTTCAGTACTTGGAAACACACTTCATATAATTTCATTACTTTCATGTAATCAAAATAATAGATGTCTTAAATGTTTTGAAGTAGCATTAAGATCCAAGGTGGTGACAGCACTACACTGTTTAAGTGAGCCAATAAACTCTAATTTTGTAACATCATTTTGTTCATCAAAGTACTATTCTATGTAGGGAAATGTTTATTTTATCAAGATTTCTGCAAAAATATTTAATTCTCATAGCTTTCTAATTAGGGGGATATACAACTAGTTTTGAACATAATATTTTGCAGTATTTTTTCTATGAAAATTTCTCAGATGCACAGCTATGACCATTGTAAATTTTATGTAGATTTTCAAGATGAATTAGATAAATCATAAATTTTGTAGCAGAAAGAGTAAAATTATGACAGGACAGTAAGACACTGAAAAGTAATCTGCTAAATGACCAGTGTTCTACAGGACAGTGAATGTAAAGCATTAAGTTTGTTTTTCACTGGTCTTACTTTGTCATAGGATGAATTCCTGTCAGATGGGGATTATTGTCTTTTTTTTTTTTTTCTTTTTGGGTAATCAGTAGAGAATTTATCTGTGAATAAATTATCTATATTTATTCTCCCACAATAAGTGTGCATGTATGTGTGAATGGATGGATGGCGGAACTGTATTTATGTCCTGTGAACACTGCAAAAATCAACCACATTTGGCTACCTGCTGACAGACCCCTCCATGGATTACCTGTCCTGAGTCTGAGTTTAGCAGGGTCAGTGCCAGGTTGTCTGCTGAAAGCAGTGAGATCTATTGCTTCCCCTCTCTGTCTTAATCTGCCTGATTATCGTTGTACTGGGCAAATGCCTGCACACACCAACCAAATCATTAGTGGTTATGTTATTCCAAGTGCTTGTAGAGAGTATTTTGAGACTGTGAAAGAGTTTGTCAGGTCTTGCAAGTTGGGAAAATTGGGGGTGCTCAGTAAATACCCAGGGGATACTTTTCACCAGTTCTCAAGAAAGGAAACGCACAGGCATGTTTTGCATGAGTGCTTTAACATCATAGGAGACTAGGGAAAAGTATAACTAGTGACTTAAATTGGTGTTTAAAAACAAACAAGTAGTATTTTTGGTACTTTGTTTTCAGTATTTTTCTCACGTTATTTTGTTAAAATAAATCACATAAAATATTCTCAGAATTGCTCTTAATTTTGAGTGTCTTCTGGTTTTGAATGATTTGATTTGAGAGCTTTCCTTAAATGAAGCAGTTTTACTGGAAAATGCTAGCACCTTTCCTGTTTCCTCTTAGACAATGTGATTCATTCCAAGTGTCCTGAAATGAGCACCTGAAATCACAGGGCATTACTGAAAGTATTGTTTATCATCCTAAATGCAAAGCTTAAAAAAGCTTCTCTCATATACTTAGTTTTCTTTTTTTTTTTTTCTTGTTTTTTTCTTACTAGCTGCTAGATAGAAAGAGTAAGTATGAGTAATCTTGGTGTACTTAATTTGGGTGTTCATTAGTTCAGAAGGGAGTAAGTAATAAACACACCAGAGTTCTTGTATAGATGTACTTTACAGGATCTAGTTATTTGTTTTTGATCTGAATGCTTTATTTTTACATCAATTGAAATGAGTTTTGAAATTCCCATCAACTTCATTGACTTCAGATCAGGCCATGCTGTGGAGAGAGTACCAGCCTCTACCTGATAGCCATGGCATATTTAGTGTGATGAATTGTAAGGGACTTGTTTGTCTTTCACAAATAGTTGTATTTATGGCTTCAATTAAAAAAACAGTTTGTGTAGTATATACTCATTAGCACTGTGGAAAAGGAACCCTTATGGTTATGGAATGTTAGTGGTTTAACAGGGCAGCTAGAGAAATACTAGGGTACTACAGGGTATCAGTAGCTAAGGAAGCTTCCTTTTCCCCTCTGTTTTTTTTCCTCCCCTCTATTCTCTCCTTTCCTTCTCTCTCCCAGTTTCCTCCACCTCCTGCCCCAGCTCAAAACTCCCCATTCTCTTCCCTGCCTCCATGATTTTTCATCTTTGCTAGTGGCAAAAAGTTTCATACAATATGCCTGTGTGCAAACCAGGAGAACAGTTTAGTTTTGGAAGTATTGCTTATCAATAGCAAATAGATACCAGTGCTTGAGGTTTGTGCAAGATATTTAGGGGGATGACTGGTGAGCTTTTAAGTGCTACGTGATAACTGATGCAATGTTGAACAGGAATGTCTTAATGAACAGTGGATGGCCTGAGTCTTGCTGTTCTCCAGGTGTGCTGTCTGCATTTATGGTCAACAATAAATTGCACATTTGTCACCCTTCCATCTCCACAAATGCTTATCACTAGCTAATAGCTAATCTGATTTGTAAAATGCATCTACATAATGTTGATTTGAGATGTTCTACAATTATTTGTTGTTATCTAGTACTAGGTAACTTCCACCATGACTTTAGTCCTCCTTCAGTGGAGCCTGGCCAAGTATAGATTTTCATTGTTATAAATGGTTTTCCTGTGAAGGGTATTTGAAAATCCACCATATAAAACATGCATTTTCCTGATGTCTAGTTAGAAACATAGAAGGGCATCTTAGCACTATTTTCCAGTTGTGCACACTGAGTTTTACCTTGTTTATCTCAAGTATTTTGTATTGCATGTTATTTAAATTTTTGCATATCCTAGTAGTACAAAATGACTTACAAAATAAAAAAGAGCACCCTTACAGTTCTACCTATTCTATGCAGATGGCTTCCAAAATTTACAGGTACAATTTTGGTGGTGGTGGTTGGTAAACAGATTTTTTTCACTTATTTATCAGCAGACTTCTTTTTATATGTGTTAGTAATGAAATGGACTAAGCACCGCTGTAATCTATTATATTTCTGTAGAAAATGGAAAATAGTGTAATATTGTTTTTGTTAAATGTTGGCAGTTTATAAATAAACTTTTCATCTCCTAAAGGATCTTTGTTTTGTGACAACACTGAACTCCATTTTCATTCACTGTGCAACAGACACCCCTTGTAAATACTGCTGATCTCTGGTGGTACACTTCCTTTGACGGGAGCTTTATCTTCTCTTGTGAATTAAGTGATGATAGCAGACTTACTTTTGGTTCTTTTAAACGTTGAGACTTAGGCCTTTTTCAGAAGCTTTCCTAGGTCTTTGTTTAATAAAAGGAGAGAGATGAACAGGAGTTAGTTCTTTATAAGATACTTCTTTCTGGCAATATACAACTGATAGAGTTGTAGAACTTGGACAGCTGGTTGCTGCTTATGTTTCTCCGACTTTTTAAAATTTCAGCATGATGTTCTGTGATGTGCTTGCCTTTTTTAAAATCTGGAAGCAACCAGAAGAACTTGTGTCAGTCTTTCTAGGTTCCATACAATTTCTGTGCTGTTACAATTGAAGGGAAATCATTTCACAGATATTAAAAGCAGGTAATTGACCTCTTGTGTTAAGAAAATATACCTTCTTTGATTCATATTAAAGGTAGATGTAATGTAGAAGTACTACTATACATGGTACTTTGATTCCAATTGACTGCCTTTAGAACATAAATTCTGCTGTATGAATTTTATAAGACTACCTGAAGAACAGCTGTCCCTCATCTGCCCCGTGATCTGAACTGGATGAAAAGATATTTAAGGTATGCTTATTATTTTTGTAAACTTTATAATTATGCACATACATTAGTAGCTGGATCCATAGTGTCGATCTTCTTCAAACAGTATTTTACTTCATGTATATATATGTGTATATATATATATACACATATATATATGTGTATATATTATTTCATTATATATACATATATATATGTATATATATTATTTCATTTATGAAAACTTGTTACTTTTTTTGCAAAATGGACTTAGATCTTTAGATCTCTTTCATAGACTTGAGTGAATGCTGCAGTAAATTTGCGTCTAGTCCTTGTATATCAGGGCAATCAGTAGCTCTATAAAGAGCTTTCATTCCAGCTATAATCCAAATAATTCCAAGGTTCATTTAAATAATTATTTCATGACTAAATATTAATATAAAACAATGTTGAACTATCAGAACATGTGGTTGGGATTGGGTTTTTATTTCATTAAGCAATGACACTGGGATATTTCAATGTAATGGCATATGAAAAAGCTCTTTAAACTTAGAGGGTTTTGTATTTCATGTATATTGTGAAGTGTGACTGGAACTGCAGATACAGTGTTTCTCAAATTTACTTAAGGGTTTCTAGGATTGTCTTGTCATCTTGGTATCTTGTTCAGATATACAGGGAAAGAAGTTAAAAATACGTCTTCATGGTCATTCTCTTCTGCTTGCACTTTGTAATAATTAGTTATTTTCTGACACAGGGCTTCAAGCCTTCTACTGTTTTCTAGTTCCAGTAAGTCTAAATCTTCCTGAGCTACTAATATCCCTTTAGAACTCCTTTGCTGGATACCAGAAGGTGGTATCTGCTTTTCCAGAAGTGTGGAATATCTGGCTGTTAACTCTGTAGTCTGTTTGGGCTTCTGCACCTCTGAAGTAAAACCATGGATTCACCACTTCCTTTGTAACCAAACATTTGAAGCACTTAGAGAACTACTTTTTTGCAGTGTCTGGTAAAGAGGTTAAAAAAAGAAGTGGAAATGTTATGTCAAGAAGTATCAGTGGAGAGTGGGTAAGTTTTGGGGCACAGAATGGAAAAAAGCACAACAGAAGCAGGTTTTTTTTGTTTTTGTCTGAGTCTTGCTGTTACCTGAATGAGCTATGTCTGACAAGCTAGGAAACCAGTTCCTGGGGGAAGGTGGCAGCCTTTGGAGGGTGTCATGATTTGACACTTGGCTCAACGCCAGGCACTCACAAGAGTGGCTTGCTCACCTTCTCCTGCTACAGCTGGGCAGCAGAGAGGCTGTGGGCATGGATCCCCGTGGGCTGTGGTTGGATCTCTGCATCCCCCATGGATCCCCATGGGCTGTGTCTTTGTGCCCCGCCCCCGCTACCAAAAAGCAGGCCATGCAAAACCAATACAAATGACAAGTGTTTTTCAGATTCTGGAGTGTTACAAGGGAAGTGGGAAGTTTTCTATTTAGTATGAGGCAGCAATTTTTTTTTCTTTTAATCTTGAATATGTCCTCAACTCTGGCAAACCCTCCAGTATGATTTTTTTTTTTTGTTATGCTGAGGTATGCTTTGCTGTTTTCTTATAGCTCAAAAGATGCGGATACCAAAGATTTTTGGCTGTGGAACCTGTGAAATTTTAAAGGTCTTGCTTTCTTTCACCATATAAGGTTGTTTGTTTAAACAGAGGTATTAATCTGCCTAACACCTCTGTCTGATTGGGAAAAGTTACATAATAGGAGTTGCACTTAGTGGTTTCCATGGCAACTAGTGATTACCAAGTGGAGTCAAACACTAGATAGGAAGAGAAAGATCAGTCTGGACATTATCATTATCCACTCTAAAACTAAAAGCTTTTAACACATACAGGCATGAAGCAAAGAAAAACTAAAAGGTAACCAAGTTCTGTAGTATCACGCCAGGTTAGCATGTGTGGGTATGCATCTTTAGCTGTATGGTACCTGACTGCCTTAAGCCAGTGAGAGTTTTCAACACTTCAAACAAGCTGGTGAAGCCATGAAAATTTAGTAGCCACTGATAATCTGTTGATCTTCATTTCTTTCCTCATTGAGGTGTCTTCACTATTGAAGGACAATATGGCTTTTTCTTAGGAAAAGGGGAAGAAGAATCTCTTTGTGCATAACTCCTGTCTTTACAAGGTGCTGTCTGGCTGTGTTTTATGAGTAACAAGTCCCCTTTCTATCCCTTGCTGTCTACCACTGTCCACTACCTCCCCATCCCCACTCCCGGTAATCCTTCACATGTCCACACAGGTACACCAATCGCCTTGGACACCCTGGACCCTCAGGTTTGCATCCTCATCAGTTGCAGCTTTTCCAGTTTGCCTTTGGTTTTTTAATAACCCGTCATTTAGGTTTGTTTCTTGTCTTGTTAGTTCATCTGTTTTCTTTGTTAGTTCATCTGTTTGTGTCTCTCTGTGCTGTGTTTGTGGCTCCCCGTTTATTTGTTATGCCCTTTGGTATTGGAAAGGTCCCTAATCAGATATCTGTAAGGGAGCAGAGACTCTCTCCCTTTACATACCCTTGCACAAACAGGTTTGACTGTTTCCAGGAAAACTGAAAACCTTGCTTCAGTGTAGGTATTTTTTTATCCCATGACAGCTTTTTTCTTTACTTTCTGAAGCCTTTCCACTTTGACTGGAAAAGTAAAAGCTTTCCAGAAGTCCTCAAATGAATAGCTTTATTGGTTCTTACAGTCCCATGAAACACAGGCTATTCAGTTGGGCAGTGCTTGAATCGAATTAATACAGAAATTAAAATTTGCTTTCCATCTGCTCATGAGATTCAAGCAATAGTTGCAGTTTTCCCTGTAAGATAGTGCCATGACAAAAACAAAGGGAAAACTGCAACTACTGCTTGAATTGAGTAATTGGAAGAGAGGGTGGCAGTGCTGAGAAGTAGTTTCTATGTGACCGTAATGAGGTGTTTCAACATGAAATACAAAGAGCTAAATACCCTTCGGTCTAAAAGGACTTTGGGTTGTCTTGGTCAGCAGTTGGTCTTCAACTGATGAAGAGAACATACTTGCATAACGTGAGTGGGTCCACTGGATTAAAAATAGGGATGCAGACTTAAATGCTTATTAATACACAGCAGGTCAAAGCTGGCTGCACTGAGTCATAATTAGGAACATGAAAATTAATTGGGAAAATGTCAATTCTTTGCTATCCCTGCTAGCAGAACTAACCACTGCAAACTTACCAGCTTATGGGTTAAACTGTCAGATCACACTGGAACAGAAAGTAGCAGTGGAACAACCTGTTGATGAGTCTGGACATTGAGGGGAGAGAAGGGAAGATGCCTATCTCCATTCCTCTCTAAGGGATAAGGGGTTTCCATAAATATAAAATATATCTTTCTTTGAACTTGGAGGGCAAAGGAGGGGATGAGAAACTACTGAATGTACACAGAAAGTAGTATGGGCTCACCACCCCAAAGGAGAGTAGCCACAGAGCATGAGAGACCTGCTTTACCACTGCACAGAATGGGCAGATGGACCTGCTTATTTGGAAACCTCAAGGCTGACATCCTTTGTGAAGGATGAAAGCTACTTTATGGCTTCTGTGAGTCTGGCTATGTCAGTGAAGTTGAGCCTTCCTACATCTGGTCGGTGCATATGGTAAATAGTTTGAAAGATATTATCATACTTCTTTTTATCTCCATTACTTATTTTCTGAGTCAGTGAATATATTTGGGGGTTTTGTTTTGTGGTGCTAAAGGTTTGATAGGAATAATGAGTTTGTCCCCACGCAGGCCAGGAAGACAACTGTGTTTGAATATGATGCATTAATTAACATTATTAAATATGCTTATAACATTATTAAATATGCTAAGCAGCATGGTGTGGCACAAAACAGGAGTGATTTGTTTTGTTTTGCTGAATCTGTAGGAGCAGGACAGGATTTAGCTGTGATTTTGTGTTTAGCACCTGACTGCTGTGACTTTTGTTCTGGAGGGGTTTAAGTCATGTCACGTGTTGTGAAAGTGCTTGTTAGTTCTGCTAAAGCAGACGATTTCCCCTTCTGCAGTGCTCAGTGCACCATGGGTCCTCCAAAAAACAAGGAACAGTTGGTGTGCACGTATTTAGCAACATGCAAATTGGTTAATGTATTGTCATATATGAATCCTGTTGTGGAGGGCTCTCTGGTCTGGCTCTTGGCCTCCATAACATATTGGTCATGCACTCAAGGGAGAGAAGTTCAGTCTGTGTGGAAATTTTTTAGTGCACTTTGAACACATTTTACTTATGTGTTTTTCAACAATGCTGGTGTATATATATGCATGTACATATGAGTATTTTGTGATTGCAATTTCTAAATTCCACA